ATCTTAGAGAAGATAGGAAACAGTCATGCCATGCAGGAAGTGCACGAAGATAAGCATTGGTGGAAGAGAATCTGCACAATTAACAGCAGCAAAATAGAAACAAGGCCGAGCAAAGGTCTTTGGAGCAGAGTGAGGTGAGGTGAGAGATTATATGGGACCAGATGACTGAAAACCTTGACTTTTAGGCTGAGACATGCAAATGTGATCTTTTACCCAAATCATACTTATTTCTCTAAAAGCATGGTTATACTAGCCACAGTCAAGTTGAGTTTGGGCCATTTCTGCACATACCCAAATAATTAACATAATCAAATGGATAATTTAGGGAGAAAAATTTAGATGTCATGAATTCCAATCGATTTATCACACTAATTAAGTTAACCCTCCAACTCCCAAAGCTGTGCTTTCCCTCCTACAAAAATAAGAAATCATTTCCACTCAAGATTAAGAAGGAGAAATTACATTGCTTATGATCTTGGAGATCTGAGTCGCCATCTTGATATCTGGTCTGTCAAGCTCCGCACTGTATGTATGGGTGCCCCGTACATCTTTTCTATAAGAAATCTGATCAGAGAGAGTTTGGGTTGGAAAAAAAAAAAAAAAATTAGTAATTTCATATAGCCACTACTCTTTATGTCCATACATTATTTACCCTTGCTATAATAGCTTAGTGAGTCTACTGACCTTAAACTTGTTTTGTTTTGTTTTTGGCACATTAATTGTATAGACATATTAACTGTTTACATTGTATGTATGTCTCACTGATATTAACGTGTTTGAACTGAATTTATACTACCTAAGAAATATAAGCTTAAGAGCAAAGCACAAAACCAATCTTAAAGGATTTTATATACATCACTTTATTAGCATGTATTTGTGCCTAAATATATAAGTTTATATTTACATACAGAGTAGTCTCATTTAGGACTTCTACTTGCCCACCATACAGTCTCAACCCCCAGTGGATACAAGATAAGTCGTAGCACAAGAATATTAAAAATCACTTCCTTCAAGAAGCAGGTGGGGAAGCTTTGAAATTCTCCAGCTTTTGCCCTCTTAATGATATCCTTCTCTTCCTCAAAAGCTGAACTCTTCAAATGCTCATACCAAGGAGACCTACTCATGGACACCCATAGTTTTATCGCATAATAAATATGACTTGATCCTCCCAAAACAAAAACAATTACATTAAGGAATATTCTGCCTCTAAATGTATGTTAGACATGAGCCAAACTACAGAAAGTAGAGATTTAAAGAGAAGAACACATAAATTCTGCCAAATGTACTTGAGATCACATTAGTCATTTAGATGAACTCAACTGACAAATTGGAAGAAAGGCCAGAACTGAACCAGTGTCATGTCCGATGGTCAACATATCTCACCAGTCTTTCTGCTTCTCTATTCTTGAGATTTGTCATGAACTGAAGCAGTATTTTCCAGAGATGGTTCTATGTGGCAATATTCCAGGGTCCAGCTGGCTATTATATTCTATTAAATTTACAATGCAAGGTGTGCAAGGATGGGCATTTTTAAAACCCAACTTCATTTTTTCAGAGCATAAAAGGTACAACACAGAAATGTACCACTGGATATCTGTACGAAATGCACAATTAATTACATCTTGCACAAAACAAGTATTTCTAATGTCACCAGCAGACTTTCTGCAATAGCGTCATCTGGGAGTAGTTATTAAAAATTTAGATTCCTGGGGTTCATCCATACTCCTCCATAACAGAATTTTGGTATATGGG